TTCTTTGCCAGTACCATGCTGTTTTTATCACAGTGGCTTTGTAGTATAGTTTCAAATTGGGGATTGTGATACCCCCTGCCTTGTCTCTATTGCCTAGGTGTCTTCTGATTCCAAATGAATTTTTGTATTGTTTTCTCTAGTTCTGTGAAATATACTGTTGGGATTTCAATCGGGATTGCGTTGAATCTGTATAGCAGTTTTGGAAGTATGACCTTTTTCACTATATTGATTCTTCCTACCCAGGGACAAGGCATGACTTTCCATTTTCTTATATCCTCTTCAGTCACTTTTCTCAGAGTGTTGTAGTTCTCAGTGTAGAGGTCTTTTGTTTCCTTTGTTAAATTGATTCCTAGATACTTCATTTTTTTCGATGTTTTTATGAAAGGGATTGTTTCCCTAATTTCACTCTCAATGAGTCTATTTGTGTACAAGAAGGCTATTGATTTCTGAGTATTTACCTTGTATCCAGCTACTTCACTGAGTCTGCCAATGAAGTCTAAAAGTCTTTTGAGGGAGTTTTTGGGGTCTTCTATGGAGAGTATCAGATCATCAGCAAATAATGACAGTTTCACTTCTCCTTTCCTATCTTTATTGCTTTTATTTCTTTCTCTTGTCTAATTGCCGTGGCTCATGTTTCCAAAACTGTACTGAACAGGAGTAGTGATAGTGGACATTCTTGTCTTGTTGCTGATTTTAGCGTGAAGGTTTTCAGTTTTTGACCATTTAGTATGATGTTGGCTGTTGGTTTTTCATAGATAACCTTTATCAAGTTGAGATAAATACCATCTGTTCCAATTTTCTGCAGGGTTTTAATCATGAATAGGTGTTGAATTTTTGTCAAATGCTTTGTCTGCATCTATTGAGATGATCACATTTTTGTCCTTGATTCTGTTAATATAGTGTATTGCATTTATTCCTTTACGTATGTTGAACCATACTTGCATCCCTGGGATAAATCCGACTTGGTCATGGTGTATGATCTTCTTGATGAACCTCTGTATTCTGTTTGCCAATATCTTACTGAGGATTTTTGCATCTGTGTTCATTAGGGTGATTGGCCTCTAGTTCTCTTTTTTTTGGTTGGGTCTTTCCCTGGTGTTGGAATCAAAGTAACACTTGCTTCCAGGAATGAATTTGAAAGTATTGCTTCCCTTTCAATTTTCTTGAAAATTTTAAAGAGTAGTGGCAATAGTTCTCTAGATGTCTTGTAAGAATTGAGCATGGAAGCCTTCAGGACTTGGGCTTTACTTTGTTGGTAAATTTTTAATTACATTTTCAATTTCAGTTATTGTAATTGGGATGTTTAGAATTTTTATATCTTCTTCATTCAACTTTGGTCATTCATATGTATCTAGAAATCTGTCTATTTTTTCAGTGTTTTCTATTTTATTAGAGTACAGGTATTGATGATTCTCTGGATTTCTGTTGAATCTGTGTGACTTCACCATTTTCATTCCTAATTACATGAATTTGAGCCTTTTCTTTCCTTTTTTTGATAAGGTTGGATAAGGGTTTATTGATTTTATTTATTCTTTTGAAAAACCAGCCCTTCGATTCATTGTTGTTTTTGTATTGTTCTCTTAGTCTCCATTGCATTGATTTCTGCTTTGATCTTTATAATTTTCTTCCTTGTATGAGCTTTGGGTTTCTCTTGCTCTTCTCCTAGGAGCTTAAATTTCACCATTAGGTTGTTTATTTGAGCTCACTCTGTTTTCCAAGTGTGGGCATTCACTGCTATGAATTTCCCTCATAAAGCTGCTTTCATTGTATCCCGTAGATTCCTGTATGTTTTACTGGAATTATCATTAAATTTTAAAAACCATCTAATTTCTTCTTTAATTTCCTCTGTGACTCATTGGTTGTTCAGGAGGGTATTATTCAATTTCCTTGTGTTTGTAAAGTTCTTGCAATTTCTTATGCTATTGTTCTCCAGTTTTATCACACTATGGTCTGATAATGTACATGGATAACTTCAATCCTTTGCATTTACTTAAACCTGTTCTATAAGCTACTATGTAGTCTATTTTGGAAAATGACCCATGTGCTGCCAAAAAGAATGTATATTCTGATATTGTGAAGTGGAAACTTTGTAGACATCTCTTAAGTCCATTTGTTCAGAGCTTGGTTCAGTTTGAATATTTCTTTGTTGACTTTTAAAAAACTATATATAATGTGTAGGTGTTGAGCAAATATGTTCAGCAATTTATTACCTTAGATTTAAAAAAATATGCTTCCATGGAGTAGAACCAAGTGAAACTGGAGACAGACATGTCAGCATTGGGACAGTTAAACTGTCCAATATCATCATTATTTATTTTCTTCATCTTAAAATGGCGTTTTCATTGGTATTGGTCATTGAAACCTCGAAGCCATTTTTGGGAATGATACTAAAGAAAAATTGATTAAAAAAGGATAAATTGTACATTGCAAAAATTAAATTTCTTTCTACAAGGTAAGATAGTGTCCAACATCAAGAGATAGTACAAACTGTGAGCAGTTAAGCATTTATTGAATGCCTAAGTAATTTTAGTATGTGCGTCCACATTTTACCATCTGTAGAAGTGAAATATGTAAACACAGCCCAATATTTCTAATATGGTAGCATTTGAGATGTTTGTAAACATCATAGAAACAGAAGAACCAGAATTCATGTTCAGAAATGTGAGAATTGTGAATGTGGATTCCAGCTTTATTGCTCTAAAGCAGAGGCCGGTAAAAAACAAGTTTCTCAAAACTGTTGCATGAAATAAGGTGGACTTGTTTTCTGTGTGGTGCACTTTCTAGGACCCTGTGTGGAAGTAACAGAAATAAGCTCTAAAAGAGTCTATTATTTATCTGGTCTTCTTACAGTGCCTAATGTGTGTGCACATATGCACAGATATAAAATAAATAAAACTTGGCAGAAGGAATATTGAGTTCTTATTTAAATAAGATCCTTCTAGAATTTATGAAGTTGCCTGTTTCATACATGCATAGCAGCATATTTTATAAATACAGAAAGTTTTGCAAAATGTTGTCAGTGGTGCATTTCCCCCAGTCACCCACGTTCACATTCCAAGGAAGCACTCTCACTACACTCACTCAATTAATTTGGGAAATTAATGAATCTCTCTAAAAGTCCTATCTGACCAACGTGGATAGCAACTTAGAGGGTTGCAGTTTCCTACACCACCTCAGACTCCACCCACATTCACAATGCCCACTTAAAGAGACATAAAAATGGCGCCACACCCTGGCTGTCCCATGGCTCCACTTCACTAAAAGGTTTGACTCCCAGAGCCACAGGTGGCTCCCACCCAGGAGCTCTAGTCATTCAGCCAAGATGCTACCTAAATCAGAGCAAGAGCTAGAGTCATTTCCCAGGATTGTTTGGCCACACTACTTTTGTGAGAGCTTTCATTTTTCTCTCCTTGATTCTACGCCAATTAGCCTGCCATCATTCCTAGGGGAGAACTTACATTATTTCACTATTGAATTGTATTTTTTCTTGGAGGTGTCCTTTTTCTGACTAGAGGATCCTTTCCATTTTCTGTCCACCCACCTCTTCTCCAGTCAGTCCTCCTTCTGGGGTACATCTTCCTATGTTGTCTTACTTTCTAGATTAGCCTCCTTATCAAGCTTCCTTAAATATTTTACTTCCCTACTTCCTCACCCTTGCACCTTAGAATAAAAGAGACATTGAATTAATGAGACATTGTCTGAGTTTCTCTTACTTCACTTTCTAGATTAAGAATAATCACTGTTGGACTCTTCTCCCCTGCGATGCATTCTTTCTACCAGAACCATATAATTGACACTTTTGTGTACTCCTAAAAGTTCTGAATTACCTCAGTCCTATCAGAGGGCCTGAGGTACTCAGTTATTTTATTGAGTACGTACTTAATAAAGATACAATGTCAAGGTCGTTTGGCAGGATAGACTTCAGACTGCAACCATGTTAAATATTTAGCGTTCAGTTTTTGAGCCAACCTACCAGGCCATTCTGCATTTCACTTTGCTCACATGTAAAATGGAAATAGTAACAGTGCTACGAGAGTGGTGCCTAACACCTAACAGGCACTAAAAGCAACAGTTTCCATTGCCTCTTATGGAGTGAATAAAAAGAGATGTTATCTGACCTTCGTTTGCTCTCTGATGGGCTTTTGTGAAACTCGCAGGCTCCTAGACAGAAGTATCAGTTTGCTGATTTCAGGAGCCCCAGTTTTCCCAGCTGTCTGGTCGTCTTACCCACCTGCCTTCTTCCTGCTCATAACCTCCCCCCTTATCTGTAGTCCAGAGGTTTGTGTACCTTGAACCTTTGCATTCTATCCAAAGCCACTGATCAGCTGCACGGTTCTTATTGTTGTAGGTTGTAAAGTGGCTAGTATTATCCTATAATTCTATCAAATGTCCACCCACCCTATGCTCTGTGTCAGACCCTCAGAGTTGCTATCCTGTGCCTCTCAAGACAGTGGAGATGAACCAACTAGCGTGAAAGGGCAAAGACAAAGTCAAGTATAAACCCAGTAGCTCATACTTTAGTGGTTGAAGGAAGGATGGTATTGATGATGGTAAACCTGTCCTGTAGGGAATGATGATATGAATTTAGAAAAATCTGGATTAGATTCTGGTTCATTTTGTCTTCTTAGCTACTAACTAACTGGGAAAAAGTAAATGAAAAGCAAACTGAACAGAATTAACCAAAAGGCACAATGACTTTAGATTTAAAAGGTAACATAATATTTATAAAATAGTAAAGCATATGATCTTATAGTATGTCAGGTTTTAGGTAATTCAAATTATATCATTTCCAAGTCATGATGGATAACAATATTCATTCTGATTTACCTTGTTAGTTTATTTAAAAATAGTTCTCATTCTCCTGGTTGAAATGGGTTTGCCCTTTATTTAAAAATGATATTTCTCTTCCTGTATTTTAAACATTCTCAACTAGCGGACCAAAAAATCTCTTGTGAAATGTTTCCTCTCGCCTTAAAAGTAAATATTCTGCTATGTTACAGCCTCACCGTTAGGAATGAAGAAAGAGGAGAAACCGCAGGAAGACCCATACATACCACAAAAATGGAGAGTATCCAGGTCCTGGAGGAGAGGTGAGTGGGACGTCCCTGATGGAACTGTCTATTCACAGCTACGAAGTCTAAGTGTTCTCTCTCCATTTGTGCTATTCCTCACAATTTGTGTAATGGACACTGGCCCAGCGTGGGAGGCTTTCTTTGGTGATCGCAGTGGATTTTTACCAATTTTTCTATTAGCTATGTTCAGCATTGCCTGAGATTGTCTTTCTCTTCCAAGAAATAAAAAATTGCTGCATTAACTAGCCCTCCCAAGATTTCTTTATTTTTACTTCTCTTTTCTGAGACTATGCTTTAAGTTGTCTCCACGAAAGTCTAAACACACTCACAAACCAGGCATAACTGTGCACACCTGTAATCCCAACACTCGGGAGGCTGAGGCAGCAGAACCCCTGCAAGTTCAAGGCCAGCCTGGCCTACATAGTGAATTCAAAGCCAATCTAAACTCTACAGTGAGGCTGCCTCAAAAAAATAAACAAATAGGCAAACATACACCCCAAAACCCCACTAAATTACTTGTCGGTCAAGAAGAGAGTCCTGCTGGCTCCTGGTCCTATTTACATCAGATCAGACTTGAACCCAGTTTCTCCAAAATGAGAATTTGAATGAAATATCTAAGGAATAAAATAAAAATACAGCTTGACTGTCTCATATAATTTTAAATGCTTTTTTCTGCTTTTTATGTGAGGTTTTTAAAAGCTTAAAGCTTTTCAAATTTTAATATTTTCAGTGAGTGAGAAAATTCATACATTATGGAATACTGATAAATTAAAGTAACTGGCCCCTTTGACAAAATATATTTTAGATTTTTAAGCAATTCTAATTATGTAAGGATGAAGTCATAATGGATGACCATATGCATTCTGATTTACTCTAACCATCCACTTCTTTGATGCATTAGCAAGTGGGACAGTGAAGTATTAGCAGGTGGTTTCTGCAATGATGTACACACTGAAAAATCTTCATATGCACATCAAAAAATTCCCAGTGCCACTCAAAGCCTTTGGCTTTACAGTAACATTTTTGGAAATGAGTGCACATATATATTCTTACTTTAGATCCTGTTACTAATAGAAAATGCCTTCTAATGCAAAAAGTAAACTGTTTCTTATGACTGGAAAGTGAAAATCTGTATCAAGAGGCAAAGAAAAAAAGTTAATTTATCCTATAGTGTTTTTATCATCTTGAAGTGTATTGTAGAGTTTAGACATTTCCAAGCTTCATTAGGAATGTATGATGCCCCTGTGATGTGGTGTATAGTTCCTTAATATTTGAGTCCTTGGCTCATTTTCACGTATATCATGCCTACCACCTACCATAACGTTTTTCAAAACCCAGAAATGGCCGGGAATGGTGGCACACGCCTGTAACCCCAGCACTCGGAATGCTGAGGCAGGAAGATTGCTGTGAGTTCGAGACCCGCCTGGGCTACATAGTGAGTTCCAGGTCAGTCTCAACTACATAATGAGACCCTGTCTCGAACAACAACAACAACAACAAAAACCCCAAGACCCAGAAGTGCCTGATCAGTCCTGCATGTTTGTCAGAGCAGACCAGACTGAGAGGCAAAGTATTAGCCACTAGGTGGCAGCAACGGAATGGACTTTTTACCTGCTCCGCTCCAGACCTGACCTAGCTTTCTTAAATCTGAGCTGCTTTCTGTTAACGACCCTATTCCTCCTCAGCAGCCAAAGCCCCACTGCAGAGGAAGTCTTATCCTGGTCTCAAAATTTCGACAAAATGATGAAGGCCCCCGCAGGAAGAAACCTTTTCCGGGAATTCCTCCGAACAGAGTACAGTGAAGAGAATCTGCTTTTCTGGCTTGCCTGTGAAGATTTAAAGAAGGAGCAGAACAAAAAAGTAATAGAAGAAAAAGCCAGAATGATATATGAAGATTACATTTCTATTCTATCACCGAAAGAGGTAAACATCGGGAAGGTATTGAGGTGGGCTTCCTAAGACCAGGCATAACACCGAAAGGTCTGCTGTCCAAACTGAGTATAGGGCCTGTGCTGTGGCCGGAAGACTTTTCTGGGGAAATTGTTGACCTTCCCTTCTGAGAGTTTCCCTGAACATGTGTTTGATTGTTAATTGGCCCACGATGCTTTGACGGTTGGTCTCTGACTAACTCTTACACGGTAGTTCACTTGCTTTTCAGAATTAACACTTTTGAGCCCGTTTAAGCAGTTTTCTGTGACTTAAGCTAACATGGAAGTGAGGAATTTAGAAAGATTCTTCTCAAAGCTTGATGCCCAGATCTCTTGTGTGAGAATCACCCTAGGTGTTTGTCTAAAAAGAAATTCTTGAGGCCTTTCCAGGACTTCTAAATCTGCATTTTTAAAAGAAAACCCAAGAATCTGCACTTTGTTTTTCCCAGTATGGGGAATTGAACTCAGCACCTTGCACTTGCCAGGCAGGCATGGTACCACTGAGCTAAATTCCGGCCCAAGAATCTGCAATTTTAACAAGCTTTTCACACACACAGGCACACACACACACACACACACACACACACACACACACACACACTAAAAAACTACTGTGAATTTTTTAATTAAAATTTTGATAATCTTTTTTTTTTCCTGGTATCAACCTTGAACTTGTGGCCCCAACTCCAATTCATTGTAGCAAAAGACTCACTGCCATTAAACCTCCTCAAAATAATCTCCCTCATCACAACACATGTACCGTACCCCATCATTCTTTCCCCTTCATGAAGCAGTTCTGAGAGTCCTTCTTTTGTGTGTTTAGCCGGGCACTCACAGATGCCTCGATGCCTCGATGTCCTGATATGATTCAAAACGTTTACCTTCACTGGTAATTTTGACTTTGAAGAAGCCAGAAGTCTCACAGTGACGTATTTGCTGAATAAGGTGAATGAGGACCCATTACAGTGTTGTCATGAGCCTTCTTTTCTAGTGGATGGCACTCTGCAGCAGCATTCACTGTATCTGTTATTGTACCTTATACAGACACTCATTAAAAACAGGCTTTCAGAACTGCACCAAAGCTAGCAAGTATGATGAGATAAATATGTTCGAAGCGGGAGAGGAGTATGTGGATGGAGATTAACACATTCACACTGGGGCCGCAATTCATAGGTCTCACTAACAGGCATGGCTGCGCCACATGTACAACCAGTAGTACAAGCAACTCGATGGGACAGTCCTGGAAACGATTTTACTTATTCTAGACTTTCTGTTGCTGAAAGTGCAAGCTTGTCTTCCCTTTGCCAGAATGCAATGTGAATGTTTGCAGCAACCGGATAGCACATTTCCATTAACTTTTTAAAAACCACTTCCTAAGAAGGGTGTAGGCTGATAATGATTAAGGTATGTGGTGAGAGAGGATGTTGACAGTAGGACCAAGCCTTGGAGCCCAGGGGAATCAGAGCTCCAGGTGTTGTAAAGGCCCCAGAGAACGAAGTGGCTTTTAGGGTGCCTTTTCTTTTCCACATCACCACCCCGTTTGCCTTTTTTGTGACTCTTGCACGACTCGGATGTTCCCTGATATATTTACATGGCACAACCTGGTGCTTCCTGCTCCCAGAGTTGGGCCTCCACAGCCCTTTGGTGGCCATGGACACGGCTGATGTCCCCTAGAACTGGGCTCTGGCTCCTTAGTCTTTTGTCCCCGTGCTTGATGCACCATACACTAACTTGTATGCCTTCCTTTGTGATCTGTAAAATGAATTAGCATCTACTTCGACAGATATCTAAGTTGAGAATACAGTATAAACTCTTTCACTTCTGATGACATTTACAAGGGGACACTTTTATGAGGTTAACATGTCACTGGTGTTCCGGAATACTCCAGCAGGACTGTCTCTACCACATGAGAGACCAGATGCACAAAAGATTATTTTTTTATTTCCTTCACTAATGTAGAAAAGGTATTTAAAAACGAAAAGGTATTCATAGACACAAAGTAAGGAGAATTGTTTCCCATAGCCTCAATACATTTATTACTGATAGCACTTTGTATTTATAACACTAGTATAATCCTGCATACTAAAAGTATAGTCTTTAGGTTTCTAATTTACCTAACATTAGCATTCAACCAACTTTATTTGGATTTTATTAGTATCATTTTATTCTTATTTTTTATTTTAAAGTTTCGTTATATAGCAAATTAACCAAAAGATCCTAGTATTCATCTAGAAGGTGCTTCTCTTGTTTACAATTATACAAATCGGAGTACTCTGGAAGATTATCTAGCCTGCATCTCTCCCTAAACATGTAAGTCATGTCATCTGAAAGTGATAGATATCTGGATTACCTAGGCCAGTCTTTGGTACTACATATATTTCATTTTTAAATGATGACCTTTCCATTTTTTTAAATACTACAAAAAGGGTATTCTCCATATTAAGCACATATAGGTCCTTTGTACCCTTTTTCTAATCTTAGTTTTTATGTGAAATACTGTCCTTTTGGTCTCGCAGATGTTGCCGATCCATGGAATGTCACAAAATACTTCATTTTCACATAAACTTAGATTTTCACTCTTTGTGCAGTACTGATGATCCTAATTTCTTTATTTTCAACAGGAGTTTCACTTAAGTCATTAAAATAGTATTTTCTAAGAAAGAACATCACCTGAAAATTACATAGGTTAATATTTCATGTAATAAGGCTATTTATTCTTTTCTTTATTTTAATATCTATATTTTGGCTATTACCTACTCTATAATATTCTTAAAATGCCAGAGAGAGAGAGAGAGAGAGAGAGAGAGAGAGAGAGAGAGAGGATTCACATTTTTATGATTTGGCTATTGTGTACTATTTTATAAATAAATTATAAGTAACTCCACATAGAATATGGCCAGGTATGGTGGTGTATGACGGTAATCCTAGCACTTGGGAGGCCAAGGCAGGAAGATCTCTGTGAGTTCAAGGCCAGCCTGGGCTACAGAACAAGTCCAAGGCTAGCCTGAACTGCATAAGGAGCCCTGTTTCCTGTCGGAGGTGCCTTTGTTCAGCTGGCTGATTTCACGCTTGTCAACATATAATTAAATTAGATCATTATTTACTAGCAAAACAACAACAACAACATCTACACTAGGTATTTTCAGTTATACAACCTAACTGTTGAAAAGCTGTGTGACTATTTTAAGACAAGATATATATCTATTCTTGAACCACGAGCCCTGCTCAGTGACTTGATTTGCGATTTATCATGCAGTTTCTAGTTATTTTGGAGCCCTTGACAATCTGCTGTATCTCGGGGACAATACTGTGCCAAAACATGCCACCTTCTAATCAGCCACCATACATCACCAGCTGAGGACAATGAGTTGGTCTTTGAGTTCTGTTTTCTAGCATTGTGAGAACATGTGTCACATCAAAAACAGGTCACACTGAATAGTAGCGACGGCACTGCACTGATACTGAAGTGTGGACCACTCTAGCCGTGGCTCCGCTGCCTCTGAATTCTATGACTTGAGAGAAATCACTTCACCTTCCTGGGCCTCAGTATTAAGTTGATTTGCTTACAAAAAATAACAGTAAAAATAGGCCCAGAGAGGAGAAAGCCAAGTCTAGCAGGACATCTATAAGGCCGATGGAACAGCTGCATCACCTGCCCACCCAGTGACAGCCAGCACGCGTCCTCACAGGTTCGGGGCAGCGGCCTCGGGCCAGGCAGAGGTGATTTCCTATCACGGGGCTGGACCATGCGCTCTCTCTACTCAGGCTTTTGTAAGTTTCTACTTAGAACGTTTTCAAAATGGTAATGACTAAATAAGTTATTGAGATTTCATTACGGACAAGAACAGCCTTTTTCGTCACTGAACTTTATTTTACCTTAATTTGATTGAGTTATTATGTTTCATATTGTTAAATCTACTTTCAGAGAGTGTACATTTTTATAATTATTTATATACAACGTTTTTTTTAGTGACACCCTTGATGCCATGTACTGAAAAATTTCATTTCTTCAAGATTTTGTTTATGCATTTTAATTATGTGAGAATTATTATAAAATAAGAGATGATTGAAGTCAGTGGGCAGTATAACTTCTAATCATGATGTCAGGTTTTATGTTTTTTAAAAATGAAAAAACAGACCTTTATAAAGTAAATTTGCTTTTTTAATCGCCTCAGGAGAAAAATAAATGAAGATATAAAGAAGCATTTAAGATTAATGACCTTGCTGCACACAGAAAAGTTTCTTGGCACATTATGAAGTATTGAAAAGACAAACAGTAAAATTAAAAACGAGAATGAAAAATCTATTTAAATATTATTACCTTAAAAATGGAAACACATTGAGACCATAATATTAATCAGACACAAGCCAGTTGTGGTGGTGCATGCCTGTAATCCCAGCACTCGGGAGGCTGAGGCAGGAGGATCACTGTGAGTTCGAGACCAGCCTGGGCTACATAGTGAGTTACAGGTCAGTCTCAACTACATAGTGCGACCCTGACTCAAAAAAAAAAAAAAAAGAAAGAAAGAAAAAAAAAATTAACCAGACACACAAGCTTAAATATTGCATAGCTTCTCTTCCATGAGAAAGCCACAGTATAAATAATTTAAAAAAAAAACAAAAGATAGAAAATAGAAAACAGCGAGATAGATCTTTTTCCCATGGGGAGGGGATCCAGAATCAGAACGAGGAGGGAGGCAGAGGAAGGCAAGAGAAATAAAGAGTTAAGATATGTGAAGTACGTGTGAATGTAAACATTATGTACTGAAAATATGTGGTAATGAAAAATTGAAAACGGAAAGGAGAAAGACTGTTATCAACTACAACACCATTGGCCAACAGATAATGAAAGAAATGTAAACCCTTCAGTAAGCGTAATTCTTTTATCCGAATGAGAACTACATGGTGTATCGATCTCAGTCTCCTCTGTGATAGCAGGGTCACGAGCCTGAGCTGCAGTGTGGCCCTGCCACTTGCCATCCACGTGACGTTTAG